TCATTATTCAAAAGTAAAATGTATCAATTTTGTTAACAAAAGTTGATTCGTATTAGTTTAATCTACAAAAATAAATAAATATCTAGATTATTAATTGATAAATAACTTCAAAATGAAATTCACACATGATGTTTATTTAGTTTCTCTGTAATATGTATGTTAATCAGAGGAATAGCATTTTTCCAGTGCCTAATGGAATGCTTTGACCTCTCGACCATGTTGGATCTCCTTATCAAACAAAAGTCAAAGCATGTCAGATCTAATGACAGTTTCCACTAGGGGTCACAGGTTCAAATCCTGCCAGAGAGTGCATATTTTTCTAACATGATTTCTTGAATATTCAGGCTAATAAATGCGAATAAATAAATATACTGTTTAATATTAAAAACAGAGCATCTACTCAAATATGAGTATCCATTAAAAATAATGTTTAAACAAATAAATTAGAAATACATCTGATTTAATCCATTTCCTAATATATATATATATATATATATATATATATATATATATATATATATATATACACACACACACACACACACACACAGAGGCATCTCATTCAAAGAGAGTTTACTGTTCATTTTACAAGTTACTCATAAATACATGCATATATTTGTATGACTTCCTTTCGCTATCATTTGTTAAATATAATTGTTGCAACTTTATTTTAAGTCACAAATTTGTCTTATTCTTTTGTTCACACATTGAATTTAATTTCAACCTTTTGCTTTACTCAATTTTGACAAGTTTTATAATTTTGTTGGTAGAAAATAATTTATCTGGAGTCAGATATAAGTAATTGTCAATTCTGCCACAACCTAACATAGCCAAATGATCCATGGATAATAATGGAAGTGAATTAATATCGATTTAAATAAGTTTTTTTAATCACTTTTCAATAAATTTTCCTGAGTATTGTTTCTTTTTCTATATAATATATTCTTAGAACAGTAAAACATATCTCAATGGTTTTTGGAAGTTGGGTTGTTTTAAGATTGAAGTGAGGTTCTTTAGGTTGAAATAAAAGATAACAAATCATATGAGGAGATGAAGTTTTCTGAAAAAATAACCATCATTATTACTATATATATTAATCTGACATATAAGTAAATTGTGTAATGCTGTAAGTGGCCATTGTTAAATGTAAATAAATGACAAAACTGTCCAACAAACAGAATTGACAAAATTTGCAATAACAAGAAAAAGAAAAGAATAGGACAAGAAATAATATAAAGTAAGCAAACAATATATGCAAGGCAAATTAACACTAATAAGCCAATGAAACAGTTATATGGCAAAAAGTTCACAAACTAAGAATTGGGGTTGACACACAAGAGCAAATTCGGATAAGCAAACACAGCATTCTGACTTCAAGACAAGACCGGGACAGAATCATATGAAACCTACAAGTGGCTTATTTTTTTAGAAAGAATTCCCAGCATGCATTTATGTAAATTGGGTCAGGGCAAGTGTTTTGTAATCATTCTGATTGGAATTCCTTTTCATCTTGACTGGATCAGCTTTTGATATTTCTCCATTCCATAATTTATTTTGTCCTTCCCTCTGCTCTAGTGAGCACACTTCTTATTAGCAAAATACAGCAGCTGCTTTTATTTTTCTGTGGGGTTGACAGGTCCTACTAACATATTTTATTGTTTATTTTGAATGTTTTGTTATATTTTCATTTGTGGGTTTATCCACCCCATTCATTTCATGTAATTAAAATTTTTATATATTTTTGTAAGAAAATTGAGAAAAATCAAACAAATACATTTGTTACATTAAAAAATTGTTATATCATGGGTGTTTTTGTAAGTTTCCTATGAATATGTGGTATTGTGGTATATGTCAGATTGAATGGTGATGGATGAGTTCTTGTGGGGAATGAGTAAATTGTAATGAATGAATAGGTCATGAATTTGATTAACTAGGTTTAGGATAGTTAGTGTAGACCAGCCTCACCTGACTTCTTTTGGCCTTGTTCCACAATTTTTATTTATTTAACAATAAATCAATATTCCTATACATAACCATGTTTATATAAGTAACAACTGATAAGAATACAAAGCTAACTCTTTCATACATAAAATTATTGTTTAGTAACTTTTGGTCCATTAACAGCAGCCATGAGAGTATGTGGTTTTTCAAGGATATTCTTCGAGCATTCAGTCTTCTTACAAAGATGTAAAGGACTCTCTCTTCCACCTTGTGGGTTGAGTATTTATATAACTTCCACTTATCTAGCTTTTTTTTGTGTGTATATATCCTAAGTTCAGCTGGGTTAATTTCCTGTTTTATGTTGCTGCAGCTGCCAACATCCTTTGAGGTCTGATTCTGCACTTAGTGACTATGAGATTACCTTCTAAGTCATCTCAGTGTGATACTTTTTTGATGTTCTCATGTTCTCATGTGACAATGAGTACAAATTTAATGAAATAAAGGTGGTAGACCAATGATAACACAAGGCTTGATTTTTTCAAATTTAAAATCACATTTTATTTAACTTCTGACTTCATCTGTTACTCTTAGTGTGCAGATGTATGGCCCTGGAGTACTTCATCCAAAATATGAACCTTACATTCTTGTCTGTAATGTCTGAGAGACTCTCCAATGCCTCTCTGGGGCAGTTGATTATATAACTATCTCTGTCATGCAGCTCGTTCCCATCCTTGCAAAATCAAGTGCAATGGCGAGGTCATTGCAGGACTCGGCTTCTCTGACATCACATTGAGTGCAAAGTCTATTCTGCCTGGTCCAAAGTCAGATACATACAACACAAAGCTTACTTAGGTAAGTGAGCCCACTACAGATCATCTCCTCTCAGATCAAATTTTTCTAACTGACTTCAAATTTGACATAGATATCTGGTACTTCCTGGTGTGAATCACATACTACAAATGTAATGAATAAAAACCTGCTTTGAGGCCCAATTAGTGGCCATGACAGTACCTACATCGATCTCCCCTGAGATACTCAGCTCTTTTGACATTCTGATGTGGCACAGTATACAAGCTTACTTTGGTATCTCTTAGGATGAACCCAGTATATATTTAGGTCATCACAGATCAACTCTTAAAACAAAGGTTCCTGATTGAAAGTCAATTCAAACCTCTGTTATTTCCAGATTTGAATCAGATACTCCAATTGAAATGTCATCAGAATTAAAATGATAATAAAAAAAATCAGCTTAAATGTAACCTCAAGTGCTTAATAAACACCAATAAAAATAATGGAGGCACAAGTATGTATCTGCAAATTCTTATGTCTAAATGTTCTACATACCTATCAACCTGCTACTTCTTAGTTTTAATTCACAGAACAACAACCAAACAGAATCTTTTATTGATGCAGTAATAAATGAAACCTTTTCTGATTTCACTTTGATCTAGAAAATGCAGCAACATTTGTTTTAGTAACCTCAAGTTTATTCAGATTAACAGAAAGTATTAGTAATCTCCTGTATGAACAAAATCTAAGACTCTTTAAATCTGACAAAGCTTTTTGAAGAAGAAAATCATTTTCAACCTGATGAAGAAACAGTTTGACTCGAATATTATGTTAATAAAGAATACATACATTTACAAATAAAGCTCAAATTTTCATGGAAACCTCATGCACATTTTTTCACAATAATGAAATAATGGGATTGAAAAAATGTGCAGTGATGCCTACAACAAAATTTTTATTTTAACGTCAAACAATAACACAAAAAACATTTAACATAGGACAAAATTATTGGCCCTCCTGCCTCAATAATCACTTGTGTAACCTTTATTCTTGATTATTGCCTTTAATCATTTTTGATGGCTCCCTACAAGATCACTACATATACTGATAGGTATTTTGCTCCATTCTTCCTTAGCAATAGCTTCTAGTTCATCCAAATTTGAAGGACTTCTCTTCATTTTTTCTTCAAATATGCCCATAAATTTTCAATGGAAAGTGTTGTATATCCATCACATCAACACATCAACTATCTTCATTCAGAGCTTCTTGTCTAGTTCAGCTGTCTTCACCCTAATTGCAGAACAAATGAGTCATTGCGGTACATGGCACTCACATATTATCTTTTTCATTAACTTTTAGAATGTTATAGAATCAAGTCAATACTATTTCATTTTCAAAGGTCAGATTAAGAAAAAACATTTCAATTGCCATAGAGCAATATTATTTCATAATTTCTATAAGGGCAGGGGGTGAATAATTTTGGACTGCACCAATTTTTAGAAAAATCTATAATTCTGAATATAATAGATCGAAACTCAAATTGTTCAAAAATATATACGGAATCAACTATTTTTGGTAAACTCAGTAAGTACTTGCAAATATTTACATTTCCTTAGAAAATATGCAAATATTCAGTGGGGGCAAATAATTCTCTACACAACTGTACATGTATTAATAAGTTTTCAGTCAAATAAGGAAAAAAAATTATTTTTCAACATAATCTTCTTCCTTGTAAGGCACTTAACACAATTCTTTTTCATTAATCACACACCTCAAACATTATACAGTGATCATTTCAGATCAAAACTAATAATTGTGCCAGACTACAGACTTATTGACCCACCTCAATATTTTTTAATGGGTAAAGAGAATTTATCTAGTAATATGACAAGAACAGAAATCGAAAGTATTTCCATTATCAAAAAGTAAAATAAGAATGTCATTAAAATTTAAAAGCAAATAAAATTGTAGAATTTTTATTTTTATTCAACAGATTTTAGTAACAAAAAAAGACTCAAGAAAACTTTAAATTACTCTGAAAATGAAACATTTTGATTTCTTTTTTTAGACAATCAAATATGTTTTCACCAATTCTTTGTGATTCTTAAAAAAGAGTTATTCTCAGGAGCATTAATCAATGATATTTAGAGATATTTTAGAACTATTCCAGCACTTGTGTTCCACTTTCATATTATTGATTTTGCCATAATTATATATCTACGTATTTCAGAAAACTGAAGACATAGTTTATCAGAAGACCATTTTCAACTATGGCAACTGAACTGCGTCCAAACACTCACTACCAGCTACCTGACTGGTTTACCAATAATTACAGTGTCTCAACAAACTCTGAACGCCAACAAGAGGCATCCATTGAGTGTCGACAAGAAGGGCGTTATCTTCGCAATGAGACATACGTACAGACCAAGTGGGACCAGTATGCAAACAATAACCGCCTTGCAGATCGTATCGATCACATTCGCAAACTGAAAGAGACCCTTGAGAACATACTGCAAGATGTGGATAAGGAAATTGAGAATCTTTCAGATGCAAAAACTGCAACAGAACAACAATTGGAGGACATGAACCTGCCGGCTGATATCAATGTGGAAAATCTGACAATCAGAGACGGTCGTCTAGGATTAGAGATTGTTACTGATGAACCTGACAAAGAACTTAAAAAGGTAAGAGACCATTTGTTATATTTCAATCCAAACAATGAGTCAGTCATTTGACATTTACTTTTTATTTCCCTTTTTGTAAATATGGATAATTTTACAGAAACTAGAAAATGGTATATTTCATTCAAATTGTAAAAATGTGCCTTATTCAAATATAAAAAAAGATGAAGAAAAAATCTTACTAATTATTCAAAACATGTACATAATGAAAACAAAAACATTATGGAATCCCATGAATATATAATGTTTTATTCTTTTTTATATATTTTTGGTAGTTTTCTATTTGTCTGGCACAATTTTTTATAGCATTCTGCACAATCCAATATTTAAATCAATAAAACCATTTTCTTTTTTCCATCTGGATTTCTGAGGTAAGGCGTTATCATTATTCACAATAAGACTATTGCCCTCATCTTTGTTGTTATCACAATATTTTGACTGTTGTACCCTTTACCCTTCTTCAGTTGTCTGCAAACTGGTTATCTCTTTCTTTTTTTTAGTGCTACTCAATTGTTGCCCACCCTATTTCCACTGAGTCTAAGTCTATACAACCCAGTTCAGGGATTGAACTCACAATAACTATGCCAGCAAATTCCCAAACCAATGCTTAAATCCATTAGGCTGAAGTGAACTCAGTGAAAACATGGCAGTCAATAACTGGACAGTAATAAATATGAACAAGACAAGATATCACTAGACATGAATAGTGAAATGAGAACAATCTAAACTTGTAGATTAAATAAAGTGTTCAACTTGAAATTCTCTGAAGGTCAGTCAGATCAACAGACACCTAAAGAAGGCCAGAGGCACAATGGCTGAAATGTAATAACAACAACAAAGATGTGGACATTAGTTCATATGTAAATAATGTAAATACATTTCCTTTTTCACTCACACCCAGTAATTTGAAATATCCTTCAAAGATTTACTCTTTTCTAAATCTAATTTCATTATCATATATCCATGAATTGCTAGGACTTAATCCTAATAAATAACACTTTGCAATGATCTGCAATAGTCTGAAAACTTATTCTAACAAAGTGTTTAATGTTTTTCAGAAATTATTATTACTTTATCATAATTACTGGCATCTAACACTACAGATATGATTTATTTAAAAAAAAAAAAAATCCTATCTACTAATCAAATTGTCATGGTACAACACGGAAATTTTCACCAATTGAAAAACTCCATTTTCTCTCAATGTTCTTTACAAATGAGTGCCTTCTTAACTCTTGACTAACTCTGCCATATTCAGCAGTAATCGTTCAGAAACTAACATATGCAACAATGCAAATAAGTTAAAATTCCGTGACCACAATTCACCACGACTGTTACTATTCTGAGCTGTCTACCTCTCCTCACTTTTGTACAGAAACGCAATTCTCCTCATCTTTTTCCAAGTGGTATAGGAATAAATTGTTCTTAACCACTAAATCACATGAATCAAAAACATTTTACCTCTTGTAGATTAGTATATGTTTAGGGAATCACATTGACCAGAAGCAATAAGTTTATTAATTCTTTTCAATTTTTATATCAGCAAAGGAGGTTTATAGTATAAAAAAGAGGAATTCAGCAAACTAAAGTTTCAATGTACATACTGAAGAATATGACCTCAATATACTTTTATTCTTAAAAATTGAAGGAAAAGGAAAAATGTAAGGGTCTACATAAGAATGCAAAATAAGTTATATGCCTCAAAAATCTTTATCATCATAAGGATAACAGAAGATAACAAAAGAAGTATAACAATATGAACACATTTGAGGCAAGCATCCATTGAAGAATATTATTGGTTAAAGGCTGTCAGTAGTGCTTCATTTGTCAACTTTATTATTTAACTCTTTGTATGATTATTAATAACAAATATTGAGAGGTAGGAGGAATTGCTTTATAACACAGAAGATTAATTAGTACAATACAAGAATCATAATTATTAAGAATTTAAGCCACTACAAAACAAATATTTGATTAATTTGTTAGCAAATGTTAACTTCCAAATTATAAATTTTTTAATTTTTTTTTTAAATGATATCAACCCAAGCAAAGCAATAATGTCACTAAGACACAAGGGGTTACAGGGCTTGGAAGAATTAGGAACAGAAACATTAATAATGAGCGGAAAGAGGAAAGAGTAATCAAGAAGACAGTAGATAGCGATTGATTTAAATTTTTGCAGATTAAAGTTGGCTGGAAAGCATGAAGCTGGAAGAGAGTTCCACAAGTGAGAAGTATGAGAAAATAAACTGTTAGCATAGAATTTATGGTTACATCTAGCCAGCTCAACTGTAAATTGATGAGATCTTGACACCAGTACTTTTTCCACAACTGATCAAATGTTATATTGATTGATTGATTCGTTTTTTTACTACTTATCAACCCTTTGCAGGATATTTAAAGTCAGAAATTATTTTTAGATTGTTAGAATTTTTTTTTTAGATTTAGTAATATAATAATGATTTAGTAATACAAGTCTTATTGATTAACCCATAGCTGGGAAGGAGAGGTGGATTTATAACTTTCCCAAGTGTATTTGCACATAAGTGAATATAATGAACCCAACTGGAATTGGAACTTGACTCTCTGATTAACAATTCTGAGCCATTATCCATTACACCACCTGCACATTCAAGTTTATAGCACCTGGCATTTCCAAGCAGTCACCCATCTAGGTACTGACCAGGCTCGATGTTGTTAACCACTGTTTCAAAGTGATATACCATAAGTCCGATCTAATCTCAAAGAGATGAGGTATTTATTTTATGATTATGAAATCAGTAGTTGTACGTAATAAAAAAATACATTCTAAGTCAGTTAATATTGAAGGATTTTGTATGATGGAATGTGAACAAGTTTCACATGAATAACAAATTGCAATTGTTTAGAGTGTCTAATAATGAAGAAACAGAGAAATGAAAACTGAGGACCTAAAGTACTAAACAGGTTGACAGGTACGTGTTGATAAATGGCATCATTCCCACAATCACTGATGGAACAATTAGCAAAGTCATCTGATATCGAAGGTAAGCTTTTTAACATGAGTTGCTGCACCTGACAGCTATTGGCACAAAAGCCAGCCAAAATAGAGAAATTTTTCTAGTGCTTTTGAAAACACATAAAATATATAACCGCTGAAAAACTTCTTTTTTTTTTAAAGTTCGAAATCTCTGTAGGTATCTTAATCAAAAATAATATATAAGAAGGAAACTGGCATTTTTAGTGTAAAAAGGGTAATTCATAAAACTGTCCTTCTTATTTGTATTGAGGCCAAGAATTTGCTAGCTGAAATTTGTGGAAGTCATTCAAAGCTTGTATCAGTCTCTGTTTGTATTGGTAAAATACTGGATAGCTAAAGGCACATATCTATTATACTAAATACTGATCATTATAGTAGACAAGTTAACAATTAATGATCACAATAAAGTACTTTTTAATAATATTATTTTTATTTTTTTTTAAATAAATAATCTGCAGTTTTTTGGATGAGGAATCAACAACATACTTTAATTTGTTCAAACTATTCTCATCTTAATTGTTAGAGATTTTATTATAGTTTCAGCTATACTGTAATTGGCCATAATAATCAAAATGGAAACAACCATACAAAATAATTAAAGTATATAATTGAACTGGTTCATAAATATGAAATGAAACAGAAAGCAGAAGAGAAAAACAGGAGATGTATTTGTCTTTGGCTTTTATTTTCATAGCATTTTTAAAAAGGTACACTCTGACATTTCATGGACTGAATTTACATAGAGAATGACATTTTAATATTATTCAAGAGTTTTGAAGGAATGAACTAAGATCAGAAAATTACCATGTCATAAATACTAACATTTTGTCATCAAAATACACAAAGCAAAAAGCTCCATCTTTTTCTCTTGAAAGGATTCCAGACCATAAGTTATAGTGTAAGTTCATTATTACAAATTTATCTAGAAAATAAGAAAGATGAGCATCTTCCCAGGCAACAATTTTCCCTTTTAAAATTTGCAATATTCATGTGTTATCATGATTAACTTAAACATTAATTGTTTAAGAAACTAATAATATAGAAAAGAAACTTTCCTTTCTAAAAGTTCTATCATCACAGAGCAGAGAGACACTAACATTTGAAATTTATAATAATAATAATAATAAATTTGCATAAAAATCAATAAATAAATCAAAAGTAGCCATTGATCGAAAAGTTTGAAACAATGCAAGTAATCATAGAATTTCTGCTTCTCTAGTTGATGTGGCTATAAAGTTGAGCAATTAAATCTGCCCTTCTGAAACACATGCTAATCTAGTGAGTCATTGACAGTCATTTTCAGATACTTCCTCAAAGACACATTACGACCGATGTGTGAATATTATATTTACTTTAGGAAGCTCAAGTAATCGATGGTATCAAAGCCATCCTGCAACAACGTATCTCAGAGGCCTTTGAACAGCTGGTCCGTCTCCAAGAAACAAGGCAACAGATTCAGTCTGACCTACAAGACAAGAACATTGCAATGGGTATTGATATTGACCAGTACAATCTGTCAGAAACATCACCCAACATCAGCTTCAAGCCAGATCCTCTGCGAATACCTAAAGGGTAAGTATGAACCATTCATCACTTCAACATGCCAGAAATAGTGGCAGAAACACAAGTGACGCTCAAGTAAATCTGGTTAGAAATGTTATCCAAATACACAAGATTGATTCAAAAACAGAGGATGGCATTTCTCATCTCCACTATTTTTATTGGATAAAAACATCATTCTCTCTTTCTCTCAATAAAAGCCATTAGAAGGAAAGCAATAAGATTTTCTCCTTTTGGACTTCTCAAACCATTAACAACTTCATACTGTAAAATTTATTTTAAGCATCAAGTTCCTCTTATTCATTTCAAGGGGTTATTTATCCTAAATTCTGGAAATTATCAGAAGAAATCTTGTTAAGGAAAGGAGGTGAAATAAAAAAAATATTCTGTATTGATTTCTATATCATGAAAAACAGACATCAGATGATTTCATGAATGTAATGGCAAAAATGAATCCTTGAAAACATGATTGCTTTCTAAATGTATTTGTAGATGTAGAATTATGTAATAAAGAAAGAAACACTAAGATTTAATTGATTCAACCATGAGTTTAAGTTGTATGATGCTATATGATTGAAAGAAATCTATTTACTCACTTTCTAAGAAAATGCAGACTAATGCCTTTAGAATTTTTATAGACAATCCTATGCTAAAACTCTATCGTTAGAATTATTTACTCAATCATGTTTGTTTCTGTATTTACATTAGTCGGACTATTGTCCTTATCTTTGTCGCCATATTTGTCACAACATTTCGGCCGTTGTATGCTCCGGCCTTCTTCAGGTGGTTGGAATTTCAAACTGAACCCTTTATTTCGCTCACTGGGGTAGACTGTTCTAGTTCCATGTGCCATGTTTGATGGATGTCAGTTATCAGTTATCTCCTGCTAATTTTCCCTCTGAAAGTTTTCCACTGCCTTAACCGGGTATTGAACTCACATTCTTTTGGGTCCTGTCACTGGAACTAACCAACGCCTTTATCCACTGTGCCAGTGGTTAGATCCAGTGACAGACTCTAAGAGTGTGAGTTCAATACCCGGTTAAGGCAGTGGAGAACTTTCAGAGGGAAAATTAGCAGGAGATAACTGATAACTGACATCCATCAAACATGGCACATGGAACTAAAACAGTCTACCCCAGTGAGCGAAATAAACGGTTCAGTTCGAAATTCCAACCACCTGAAGAACGCCGGAGCATACAACGGTTGAAACGTTGTGACAAATATGGCGACAAAGATGAGGACAATAGTCCGACTAATGTAAATACTCTACATAATACCTCATCTCAGAAATATAGACAGACTATGTTTGTTTCTCTTCAAATACTTGTTGAAAATAATTTAATTGAGAATAATAAAATTCCCTTACATTTTAAAAGAAGTCCCATATATATTTCAGTTTTTTATTTTTTTTATTATTTCTTTTTTTTTCAAATGAAGTGGATTAGCACTTTGATCAGATTTATTATATCAACATCAAAGTTTTATTTTTAAAACCAGATTCCAACATTTGGAGAGAGCTAGAAGAAAAAGACGTCTATTTTAAAAGTAAATCTGTTGCCACTCAAAAATAACACTGATTACAAAATTCTAAGCAATAAACATCTGGTGGTATATTTCTCAAAAACATTTGATACTTTTCCAGTTATTTACTAAATTGTACCAAGCAGTTACTAAGATATACATTCTGTTGTAATACATGCTACAAATTTTCTTTTAAGTCTTTTTGTTATCACTTATCCATTACATTTGACATTTTTAAGTGCAAAACCCTTTATAATATTATGGAGGGATAAGTAATTTCAACACTATATTTTCAAAATTCATCATTTAACAATAATAGAGAAGTTTTAATGTTGATAGTAGGTAACTATTATGAATGCTAATGGGCCTATTTAGTAGTTGCATGTTTTTCTGCCAACATTCATAGTCAATATTTGAATACAGATAAAACTATAATTTTAAATGCTGCTTTTCAAAGCAAGTATATACTCTCTCGGAAGATACCAATCTCCTCACCCTCTCCCCAGCCCATTTAGCTGCTGTTAAGTTTACTAAACATGAATGTTACTATTATTAATGATAACTGATTACACAATTCTTTTTATGCAAAACAGGTTTTTCTTATAAAGTAAAGTAGATTATCCTCCTATTATTTTTATAATGTCATAGCCCTCCAAAACACAATTATGGCTCTCCACAGATCCCTTTACTTTTATTATCTGTGAATTGGCATGAATCCTTAGGAAAACATAATAGAATAGTATCCCATTGCCTTCTACATGGTTTAGAATTCAGAGATTTTTTTCTCTTAAACGAGTTACCCAGTCTACATTGCTATTAATCCATAATAGCAGAGGGGAGGGGAGGAAAGAAGAGACAGATTCATGTTTTCCCAAGGGCATTTTTACAAAAGTGAAGACATCAGGCTAACCCCAGATTTGAACTTTGTTCACATTTCCACTTTCCACACCAGTATTCATTACATTACCCACAAATCCATCCACCTGATGTGCATTTTAAAATGTCTTTTAATCTTCTATGGAAAAATATTTATTATTTTGTTCTCTCTTCTTTTGAAGAACAAAATAATAAATATCCTGTATACTTGCTTGAAAACTCCATTTTAGTACAAGTCTTGTCCACTCTCTTTTGCAAGATCAATCTTTTCTTCCAGAAGGCTTTATTTGGATATCTTACTGACAACAAGAGATATTAATATGATAACAATAATATTAGCTGTTTCCCTACAATGAAACATTTAGCATTCATTGACTGAGCAGCCAGTACCGTTTTCAGTTGAAATTTTAAAAAAAATAAATAAAAAATAAAATCTTTCTCTTAAAACACCTTTTTAGGAAAACATGTCTAGTAGCTGTTATTGCTCTTTCCAGTATTGATGGGAGTTTTTTTTCTAACCTATTATTTGAAGTAGTGTGGAATGATAATATTTTGATTATATCATTGTTTTCTCTCTGAGTTGCATGTGCTAGCCATTTTAGTTGCTGCTGCTGTTGGTTGTCCTCAATTGATGTGGTTTCTGTTATTTGATACAGTTCTTTTAATAGTGCTGATTAAAAAATTTCAATAATTTGCTTGGATTCAACTTAACATTTTCTGGTTGTATTCATCATTATTACAGCATATTTGTGGCTTAAAAGATTTTCTCATACTGCTGGGCATGTGAGGTTCATGATCAGAAACTTTAACAGAACATTGAACATGTTTTAGACATCATGAACACAATTTTACAAGCTTTCTAGTTAATTTTAATAGGACATCATTATGCAATTGAACCTACCTTTATCACGATAGTTTCCCTTAGCCTAATTGATAATGCACACATCACTTAAAAATGGTTTCCCTTGATGGAAATAGGTAATAGATGTTTGATTTTTGCCAGGAGGCATATTTTCTTTGATAGGAAATTCTTGTCCAACTGACATTAATTTCACTGATCAAAGTAACAGGGGTGGCTACACAAACCTATGTATCCAATAGATAAAACATTTACAGTAATAAGAAATATCATTACATATATAAAATTTATTGAAGGAATTCTAGATGTTACTTAATAAGAAACCTATTATTTTATTTTGTTTGACTTCTGCTTCTCTTGAAACATAAGAAAATGAATGAAACTTTCCATCGTGTTTATTTTCAGTGCTCCAACCCTCCAACAATGGGAGGATTACAGTCGTTATAATGTTGAGCGTGCTCAGGCAGAAATAAAAGGTTCACGGACTTTGAGAGAAACCATCAATCACACACAAAACCAAGCTAAAAATGATCTTGAAGCCCAGCAGGATGCTACAGGATATGCCTTCCGAAAACGCATGCATGATATTGAGAGAGCAATAGACGAACTTGACTGGCAGAAGAAAACTGTAAGGATTATTGTTTTCATTCTTTTGCAGGTTTTGTTTACAAGTTGCAAATGAACTGAAAATTAGCAATATGAAAGGAATATCTGCTTTCTATAATTTTACTCAGAATTTTCTTATCAAAGAAACAATGCAATTCAAATAATATATATTTTGAAAAATACATTTAATCAGCAAAAGAATGCTATTTTTCAGATACAAAAAGCTTTCAGTTTTTACTGAAGTTTTTGCTATATATTATGGTTTTACTCTTTGTAAAATGTTTTGATATATTATCCACAAGCTCCCCTCTGATAATAAAAACTGGTCATTTTCCAATAGTGACCAAAAATCATACAGATTTCCTTTAATTAAATCAAAATAAATTAATAAAAATTTTAGTGGCAGATTGATGGCTATTAAGTTGAAACACAAATCTCTAATTTTAAGAAAGGTTTCGTATGCTACTTATAAAATCAAAACTTACAATAAAAAGGTTCTTTAAAAAAGTTCTTCATCATGTAAAAAAAAAAAAAAAATCATCTGGAATTTATTTCTTGTCAGTTTTCATTTTATTTTTTCATCATTCCATAAAATGATAGTAAATCATTGACACATTTTCATTTTAACTCCTTAATTTTTCAGTTGTTATGTTTTTCCTGCAACAAAGTTAAAAGCAGAGTATTGGTGACCTTTTTCTTTAAAGTTTTGCTGAATCTTTGGAAGTAAGAACTAATTAGTATAAAAGCAAGTTCAGAATGATTGTATAAAGATTATAAAGTCAGTTATTACCCTAAATTTTTTTAACAAAAGAATGGAAAATTTACCAATTATCCATAAAATTTCACAATTACTCCACATATCGTTGTAAAATTTTCATTTGTAATTTTAATTTTTAGACGGAAGAGGAGATTACTGAGATGGAAAACGATATCCGTGCTTTAAATGATTCCCTTGCCCAGAAAATTCGGCACATGAAAAAAGCACAAACACGTCTTGAAAACCGCATGTGTCGACCTGACATGGAGTTGTGCTGGGATGCAGCTCAGACTGGACTTACAGATGAACTCAAACAATTGGATGCTACAGTAAATGCCCTTAAAGAGAAAATACGTCAATCTCGGTAAGTCCCTTGTGACATTTTTCTATTCATTCAGAACAACGCAGTGTTTGATTCCAACAGTTCACAAAAGAAAATTCATCAACCTTTTATTGCCATTTGATAAGCAATTTATTAATCTGATTATAATCATTGTGTCCAGGCTAAAAATAGATTCAAAATGTTTTAATGTAGACATTGAAATTTCTTATTCTGCTCAGAAATTCAATCTCTTTCCTTCATTCTTTATACAAATCTATGATTGGATTTGGGATTATTGTTTGATTGCTTCCAATCATTGTCATTTATTTGCTGCTGCTGCTGCTCACATAATGGCAAGATTTTCTCTCATGATTCCCATATATGCATTTGTTGCATGTCAACTTGGTTTTATAATTTGCTAAAATATCTTTTTATCAGAATATATTTTAAATTTCACAGTATGCACTAAATATAAAGATCTAATTAAAAGATTATAAACCTTTTGAATGCTTTCAATATGAATCTATTATATGTTTGTTGTTAATAACTAACAAAGATGAATTCTATTCTGACTTAGAAAATATCAAAAGCAATAATGGATTAAAAATACTTGTCTCTTTTTTAAAAGAAAAAACAAACAAAAAAAGAATACTTTATAAATATTCAGATTTCTTGAAATCTACATTGATATAGAATTTAATGTTAACAAAATAAGAACATTCTTATTAACTAGATATCTTTCTAATATGTAAGTTTCCATATTTGGGGCTTTCTGCTGGCTAAGCCACCAGTGGCCAATATTCAAAAGTCAGAATTCCAAAAGCTGGCAATCAAGTAGGCCCTCTGCATCCTGTATGCAATGCGCTCTTTCTATTCACAACCATTTTTTTCTTCCTCTGTGTGTCGTTCCACAGACGGACCCCCTCCCCCACCAGCATCCTGTGTGTAATACACTCCTATTCTCAAGTGTTTTCTTCCTCCCTTTTGGCACTGTGCTGCAAGCAGCCCCACCTTGCATCTTGTATACAATACACTCTTTCAACCATTTCTTTCTTTACCTGGGCATTGTGCTGCAGACTGCAGCCCCAACCCCCAGCATCCTGTATGCAATACACTTTTTCAACCATTTCCTTCTTTCCCTGAACATTGTGCCGCAGACTACACCCTACAGCATCCTGTATGCAATACACTCTTTCAACCATTTCTTTCCCCGGGTATTGTGCTACTGGCATGCACTGCTGCATACTGTATGTAATACATTCTTTCTACTCAACCATTTTCTTCCCCCTGCCGGGCATTGTGCCACACTAATTTATCTATAAAGTTCCATATTTGCTTGAAAAGCCTAATTATAAGTTTTATAAAGTTTATTATAATTGACTTCTTTTTTGTTCATGCAAGTTTGCTTCCATAATTAAATTTTAAAAAATAATTAGTAAAATTAAAAAACAAACAAAAAAAAAAACACTTTGATGCTTTGTTCAATTGTCATGTGCCAAGTTTTAAAGTTAGAACCAATCAGCTTTTACTTACTCTGTACTTTAATCTCATTTACTAAAAGGAACATCATATTTGTGATTCTTAGAATGATCTATGAGAATCTATCATAAACTCATACAATACTATGTAATATTGTAAAAGGCCAGAACTTTTTTCAATTTTCTTTTCATTCATAAAATGATATATTTATCTTAGTGAATGCAAACTCCTTTCTCTACAATCTTTAAGTAGGCAACCATAAAGTAATTAATATCAATTATGTTGACTGGATACAACTAAAAAATGAAAAATCAATCACATAGTTTTCATTTCTTCATGTTCAAGTTATATTGTAGTCAAAATGGAGGTAATACTACTGAATGTTCTAGAATAAAAATTATGACTATTTACTTCTGAAATTATTTTCTACTATTGTCCATGTAAAATAATAAGTACTTTTTTTTTTTCAATTAATTTTAACAATTTAATATGAAATTCAGCTTTCAAATTTCTCATAGCCGTTTTGAGTGATTTTTAAAATCTTCTGATAGATTTTCAAATCTATAAAAATTTGTAGTCAGAAAATGTTGTAATTTAGCCTTTTTTATTTAATTTGGAGATGACCATTTAACTGAGCTTAAATTTAATAATATCAAAGAACACACATATCTTGTGTATTATTTGTGAAAATTCTCTGAAATAGCAATTACTTCTCAAGTTACTTTAAGAATAAGAAAACGTTTGGAAAACTGTCACTAGCGTTTTTACACAGACAATACCACATACACTCATCTTTTGTACATACCCATACACACAAACAACACTATTTAATGTATATAAATTAAACAAATGGTACTTTCATGAATATTAAAAAGGTCTTTTAAAAATATTTAATTGTACATAAAAAAAGGAATGTACAAATAAATAACTGATGATCAATATTAAAAAAAATCCTGTGCTAAAAATGCATATGAACATAAAAGATGATTTTTACTTTTCATGTTATCTAAAAAAAATGAAAGTCAGACAGATTTACTCCGTGTGAGAACTCAATTTTTAATATTAACTGTAAAAATACTTCTACTTGTCTTTATAAAAACGTCACTTTGGAAAAATACGACTATTAATAATAAATTGCAAGTGAAATAACTTATATCGAAAATGGACTTCTAAGTTATTTCCCTTAGACTACAGTAAGCGAAGCAGCCAGGTGTGACCCAGACCCGAGACCGGAACAGGTTCATATTATTGATTTTACATTTTTGTTTATATATCAACCACCACAGACAGCAGATCAGTGAAGAAATTTGATGAGCTAATGTAGCCAAAATATATTTTGCTCTTTTGAACATAAATTTATGAAAATGAACTTTTAACAATTTTGAAGTTAATTTGTTTGCTTATGATTGTTTATTTTTCTTATTATTACTACATCTGTAGGCATGCACTGGATGGCTTACAAAAAAATTTACACCGTATTAATGATGAATTGGAACGCAAGAATCATGCCCTGACGCTAGACAGTCGGTGTATGGATGTACGTAATCGACTGAAGACACGACCTCAAACGATAAGTGAACGAAATCTGACAATGATGGGAATTGAACGCGCACCAACTAACTTTCTGGCTGAGTAAGAGTCACAGGTGAATTAAAAAAAAAGCAACAGTTGGTCTCTTTGTTGTTTTCTCTTCGTTTTGGCTTTTTTAGGAAATCTTTTTATGCCATCTATCTGCAATAGATGTGAGGTTTAATAGTGTGAAATCACTTTAACTTTAAATTTTACTGCTTAAATCAGAAAAAGAAAACATCTTTTTCGAAATTACTTTGAATTTAGGAGCTTGAGGGTTTTTTTTGTGTGTTTTTGATTGTAATTTCTCTATCTATTATAATAACAACAAAGATAAGTAGTCTTACTGAAGATAATCAAAAGAATGATAATTCTTCACTCTTCATCCGACTTTTAAACAAATTTAAATGTGTTAAAAAAAAACAGAAAGTGACTTTTCTCCTTTTTGTACTACAGAATATTCCCAATATTGCCTAAAGAATGAAGAAACCCTATTCGTTTTTAATTTGTTGACTAAAAAGCAAGAAAGAAAGCCTGTTTGTTAAAGTTAAAGTATTATATACTTTTCTTATTTTCAGTTTTCGTGCAAATAAAAAGAATTTCATCCTAACCCAAAAAGTGACAATTCCATTTTTTTTTCTCTCTGATTCAAGTTGAAAATCTTCGACTTGTATTGCTTCTTCTTTGGATTACTGTCGTCCTTACAGACGGAATGTCACCAAAAACAGTGTTATAAGCAGAGCTCAAGTCAATTATTTCAAAACTGGGATTTAACTAGAAATTCTTACGTTTAAAAAATATTTGTTAAAAAATGGTAAATTTAAATATTTCTTTTAGGATAAATTAATTTGCTAAATTTTATCAATTCACAATTTAGAATCAAATGTGTAAAGACTAAAGACATGTAACTATTTTTTTTTAAATTCCAAAAGTAGTTTTTGATATTTTTCAATCATATATATAAAAAAATATATACAAGAAAAACTATTGTTTTGAACTTTTGATTTATTCAGTTGCAGCTTCTTCATTTTTTTTTTTTTTGTAAATAAAAGAATTGAAAACAAAAATCGACCTTTAATATTTTATTTTATCAATATTTCATTATGCTGACACCTAAATAAAAAAAATAATTTTATTCAAAGACGAGTGATATGAAAGTGGCGATCAGACGTTTCTTTCACAAAGAGAAAAAGTTCATAAAATTCCACTGAGCTAAAACTAAAAGTAACAAAAAAATCTAGTTTTACAAAACACTATTTTAATCTCTTGTTTCAAATAATCACTATTTACCTTTTAGCTAGACTTGTTTTTCCTGTTTTTGGAAACAGATCAATGCTCTTTAAAACAAATTATTTATTTATTTATTTATTTTTGTTGAATATCAAACCACTGTTGTTTGAAATGGATATGTTATCAAGTATGTATTTCCTGCCTGTCTTATGTGATTTCTTTAGGATCAATTAGAAAGGACAAGTCAGAGTTCAATTAATCACAAATAATAACCATTAATTGTCAAAAACACCAATCAAAGTCTCTTGATTTTTTCCCCTCTTCCTGTTTTCATTCTTCACCAATGATTATTTGCATAATTTTCAATTCCACAGAATTTCCTTTTGATCTGATGGGGAGTTCCAGTCTGGAGTTGGCTTTCATTAAATCAAGAAAAACAAACATGCATCTCTCTTTATTGTGGTTGTGCTGAAAATATATTCCTCAATTTTCACAAATAACAATTGCTTTGTCCAGTTTAAGTAACTACTTGATTAAATATGATATCCTTTTACAAAAACAATATTTTAAAAACAATGCTTTAAAAAATACCCAATACATATCTGATTGTGCAATACTGATATATAGCCACTCAGAATTTACCTAGGTAAATAAACTTTTATATTATGTACTTCATGTATAGGCAGCATGCTGATAGTGTTAGTCATAAATATTATAAAATGCAGATATGCTGTGTGTGGATAGAAATCAAAATATAAAATAAATTCATTTACAAAAATCATTTTATTTTTACATAAGATTTTCTTTCCAGAAGCATTTTATTACTCTTACAATTTCTTAAAGGGGTACAACACAAACACCAACAGATTTTATATATATATATATATATATATACACACATACACACACACATAGAAAAGAGCATAATTTGATGACTGAAAGATATTTTTCTATGAAATGATGAAACTAATCACTCTTAATTAAGGGAATTTTATATTTCCTTAATTATAAACTGTAAGTACGATATTTTAATTGGAATACATTACAGCATCTGTTGAAGAAAAAGATAAAATATAACATTGGACACATAAATCAATAGAAATCATCAAATCTCAAATTTATTTCATGGATTTATGCACAACTAGCTAGACAAATGCCAAATGAATTGAGAAAAGTAAAATGTCTTTTAAATTAATGTAACTTAACAATGATTTGAAAAAAAATATCCTCTTTTTGGTGCTGAGATTCTGTTTGTGAGTAGATTGAATTCCAGCATGAAGATAATAGACTTAATGTTAAATGAAAAATAAAACCAGGTTGAAATTTTTACTTATATAAATAATAATCAAAAAAGTGTAAAATCAAATCTGGATTAAAATGTATTCTTAATTTCATATAATGAAATTAAAAAAAACATTGTTTTTTAAGAAAATATCAACAAAGAGGGTATAAAAGATAATCTTTTATTTATTGATTTATTTTTGCATAAAAAGTGAAAATGGCAAAAATTTTAAAAACCTGAAACTATTCTCTTTAAGTAAATTCAAGGCTGTTGGCACTTTGGCATCGACATGATTATTTCTTTTACTAGTTCACTTGCCGAAATTTGATTTGTTTTCAATCTTGTTCTTGTTTCTTCTGATTCCAAGGCAAAATATACTTTTCTTGAAATTCGCCGGTAATGTTTACCTACAAGGTTTTTACATTGGTGAAATAATTCAGATTCCAGAATCCGAGAAAGCTCTGCTGGATTAGTCTACAATCAAATAAAGAAAAATATCAATACAAAAAAAAAAAAAAAACTTTAAAAAGAAAAGAAAACAAACATTTAATTTTTTTTTTTATTGTGCTCTTTCACCTTTACAAAGTTGCAGGCTCACCATTCAGGTTTTACTTTTCTTGTTTGTGTGACTGTCCATTGGTAAGCCTATCCAATAATCTTACATAATCCTTCCTAGTGTGATTTGATGCATAAGCCTTCTATTTTAAGCAGACTTTCAGAAAGAGAGAAAAGACAGAGCCCCTTACTGTCAGGTATGAAGAAGTTCGGCCCAGTGTCCATGTCATAGTAGTTGTAGCAGTTGCAGATGGAATTCTATATAGACTGAAATTGGCAGTTTATACTTTTACCACTGCTCCCCCTCCCCCACACACACAGACAATAAGATTAAGATTGTTCATGTTGATTTTCACCTAGCAGTAGAAATGTTTAAGTCACACAATGCAGCCACATGGAACAAAGAAGAATCTGAAAATACAATCATCTTCTTCTGATATAGAATTTATCACTTCTTCAATATGCATTTTTTATAAAATATGTTAAGTTTTGGAAATGACATTAAAAAGAACCAAAGACAGTAAAAAAGATTTTATGAGAAAAATATTTTCATGTCTGAAAATAAATGAAATTTAATATATAAAATTGTTACCTAAGTGTGTTTGTATGCAAATGAGAAAGCAGAAAGAAACAATAGAAAAAGATGAAATTTTAATGATATTGAAGTTTCATTTAATTTTAGGTATTAATCTGATTTCCATATAAGCAGATGTATATTTGGTCAACTCAAGAATGGTAAGCTTTGTGTGTGTAATATGTTCCTTATAGAAAGAAACTGGCATTTCTTTTAAGTGGGGGAGAAAAAACAAGAAACATTTGATTGTAATGAGATAAAAAAAAAAAGGCCATAAAAGAGAATTTTTCATCAAGACAACAGAAAAGATGGAAATTTTTCTAATGTTCACCAAGTTTACATATTTATTTTGTTTTTATGCACTGAAAGATTATTACCTACATGAGAAAATAAAAAAATGTTTGACTATCGTCAAGATTTTATTAAAAAGTGTCTACTACATAAATAAATAGACAAATAAAAAATTCAATGTCATATCTCATGACTCAGTTTTGCAAAAGGTAAATCCAGAATTCAAGGCTAACATAAATCAATTCTCTCTCTCTCTCTATCTCATATATATATATATATATAGAGAGAGAGAGAGAGAGATCAAGGTGTATTAGTAAGTCTGCAGTATGTCATAAAATAATTTTGATCTGAAATTTTTACTTTATAGTTTAATGAGTAAGATCATACAAAAATATTTGTAAAATAATTGCTTTTTGCGAAATTAGGATACAAACATATTGATAAAGTTTAATTAAAATATTATAATACAACTCTAGAATAATAATACAACTGAAAAAAAATGTGAAAATTATGTCAATTTAACATGTTTTTACAAACTAGCTGAATTCCTGCCAAAAAGTGCTCAATAGATAACTAGAGCACTAACATT